AAGTAAATGTTACATAAAAGAATTGAACGATGTTTATTGCTTAATTGACATTAATCATCATTAAAATTACTATCACAATTACAATTAAGATTGTAATTAATTTTAAATCTACTTTTAAATATAATTTAAATTGCATGTCTTATCGGCATCGCCCGTCGTCGTCGTCGTCGTCGTCCTATATCGTCGTCGTTGTCGCCAACGTCCAGTATCATCGTCGTCGTTGCCATTGTTGACATCTAACGACACGACATAGTTGTATCGTCATCCTTATTTATCATCTTTCTCTTTCTCTCTCTCTGTCTCTCTCTCTCGATCGTTCCCTCTCGTCCTCTCCCTGTTTGTCTAGTATACATAAATTACACCCGTATTCGCATTAAGAATCACTTTCATTGCTAATTTTACTTTAATTTTATATTAAAATTAAAATTCTGAAAGCATTGTAAACAGCAGTTTAATGGACAAAACGCTTTATAGTGTATATGCACTCGTGTCACACGTACGTCTAAAAAAATTTGGAAAGCTGTATGATCCCTTTTAGAAAACGATCTCTAGATCTCAGTATCCGCTTCACCAATTTTATTATATGGAACGGTCGCAATCGAAAGATATCGATATATAACATTATATGATAAAAGTGTTTTCAGATTTTTGATTGCGATTTTAGTTTCTGAGTAATTTTAATTTAAAGTTGTTGATATCAAAACTATATCAGATAAATCTAGTGATAGCGTTGCGAATTTGATAACGATATGAATATCTACGCAACAATGTTTACACATCAAACCGTCAAGCGATCCGTTTTATATTTTTATTTAAAAATAACTTATTAATGTAATTATACAGGGAAATTTCGATATATTGTATTAAAAACATATTGTTATTATCCATAAATAAAGTAAAAAAATAATTAATAATTGCAATTTTTTGTTTTTCTAATTTCTAAATAAAATATCTTTTTGCAAAAAGCAATCGTTATCTTAATTCGTTTATGGGACTTTAATTACGCGAGTTAGCAATCACTTACTCTAACAAGCGTGAAGTATTATTACGATGTATATCTTCTAGCACTTGTCGCGATCACGTTTCAAGAAGTAATGCAAGACGATACACGGAAAAGTTTGCGCTACGCCTGCCAACTTGAGTTTCATTGACCGAATGAAAATAGTAGTAGCACGATCTTGCACAGCACTAAGCACAAGGGAGACATAATAATAATAAACGCTAAAGCGTCTATAAAATGTCGGTAAATTATCTCAAAATAAGTATTCAATATTTAATAAAAATTAAATTGCGCTAAATATACTCTTCAAATTTTTTGGAGTAAAATTTTACAAAAAGATTAAAAAGTGAGCCTTGCACTTTTAAGTATTATAAACGTACAATAAAAAAAATTCAAAATTTATTGAAGTAACATACATAGAAATTTTAATAAAATATTTAATATATGTGTAGTGATACTGCGCGCAATCAAAAGAATATGGAACACAGAACAAGAATTTTAATCTATTAGGAATTGTATATTTCACAACACATGATTTCTGAAAGTTGAAATTTCTATTTTCTTAATTCCTATTTCTTTGATAGCGCAATTCCTTATAAAACTAATCAGTATTCGTTTATGTTACACAGCCTTATTAGGAGTATATTATGCTTTTTCTGCTTTAATAAATGAACAGTTATTTTAAATTTTACATTTCGTTGTGGTTTGTGAATTAATTAGCGTTGTCTAGAATAATAACAAAATATAAAAATTCGATTGACAGAGAATTTCAGAAAGGATGTTGTCACTTAATATAATATTTAAAATGTAATATAAGAGCTA